AAAAAAAAAAAAAAAAAAAAAAAAAATCCACAAACATAATATAAAAGACTCCCATGACATCTAGAAGCATTTGTTTTATGAAAGAAATTTAAATATGATTATGTGCACACCAAAGTGCAGACAATACCTACGCTGGACAATACCAAGAAACAACATACTGCAATAGGTGAAAGAGACAAAGCATTGTTGAGTTAGGCTGGGAATAGAATTTGGGTAAGAGTCACTCTGACACAGGCTGTGTGTTTTCTTATATAAGCCATAAGCCAATTGCTCTTCTTCTGTTTCTGTTTTCTGTTTTTGTTTTATTTTGTTTTGATACTGGGGATTGAATTTAGGACCTGGATCTTGCCAGACAGATGCTGAAGCCAACTGTTAACTTGGAGTTAACTCTTTACAGCCAGCACTGCTTACAGCCTGCTTTTGGCATAATCAGTGGGGTAGTCCTCCAGTTTCTATGTCTTCATCTGAGAAGTGTCTGTTCATTTCAGATGCCCATTTTTGGGGTTGGGCCTTTAAATTGGGGGCGAGGGAATCTGATTTTTTGAGTTCTTTATATATTCTAGATTTGAGTCCTTTGTCTGAGGAACAGCTGGTAAAAATTTTTTCCCACTGTGTGAGTCTGCCCTTATCTGAGACCCTGGTTGTTGATTCTTTGTGCTATTTCCTGTGTAATTGGGGTTTTGTTCAGAATGTCTTTGCCTGCATCAGTGTCTTCAAGAGTTCTGCCAATTCTGTCTTCCACCAGATTTAGTGTTTCTGTTTTAATATTTAGATCTTTGATCCATTTTGTTTTTAATTTAGTGCATGGTGAAATATATGGGTCTGGTTTTCATCTTTGGTATGTGTAAAGCCAATTTTTCCAACACCATTTATTTAAAAGGCTGTCTTTCTTCCAGTGAAGGTGTTTGGCTCCTTTATCAAAGATAAGGTGGCTGAGTGTGTTTGGAGTTGTTTCTGTATCTTATGTGCTCCATTGATCCTCTAGTCTGGTTTTTTTGGTGGGTACATGCTGTTTTTTTAATCACAGTAGCTTTGTGATATAATTTCAAGTCAGGGACTGTGATGCCCCCTGCCTTGCCTTTGTTGCCTAGAATTGCCTTTGCTCTTCTAGGTCTCTTCTCATTCCAAATAAATTTTAGGTTTGTTTTCCCTAATAGTGTGAGATATGCTATTGGTATTTTGATCAGGATTGCATTAAATTAGAATAGCAATTCTGGAAGTATGGCCATTTTTACTATATTGGTTCTTCCTATCCAAGAACAAGGGGTATCTTTTCATTTTCTTTTTAAAAAATTAATTTTATTGGTACAAAACTTACAAACATAATATAAAAAGACTCCTATGACATCTAGAAGCATTTGTTTTTATGAAAGAAATTTTATTGGTACATTTAAGGTATATAATATGACGTTCAACATTGGAAATTTGTACCATTTCCCTGCCCTCCCTTCAACCCCTCCACTTCTCCCTATCTACAAAAACTTTATTTCCAATTATTCTTTTTCTCATATTATCTTTTCATTTTCTGATATCTGCTTCAATTTCCTTTTTAAGAATACCGTAAAATAAAGCACACATGTTTAAATACCAAATAGTTTCTCTGGTGTGAATAATCTGCAATAATAGTGTGAATAATCTGCAATAATACAGAAGATCCTAATAAGATTACTGACATTGAGAAATGGGAAGAAAGGAGCTAAAGGTGTAGGGAAGGCGGGATGGGTAGGGGAAGGGTAATAAGGGAAAAGAAAAAAATGTGAGATAATGAAAAGATGAAAGTAAAATGTTTATAGATGGGGAGGGGAGGAGGGGGTGAAGGGAGGGCAGGGACAAGGGGAAAAAATAAGAACCAAGACCTGTCATGTAGAGGTATAAGATCCCAACAATGAATGTAACTGTACTGTATCCCTAAAATGTACCAATAAACTCAGTTAAAGCTGGGGGGAAAAAAAGTACCGTAGTTTTGTCTTTTGTTTTGTTTTTGTTTGTTTTGTAGTTTTCAACAATGTAGAGGTCTTTTACTTCCTTTGTTAGATTGATCCCCATGTACTTTATTTCTTTGGATGCTATTGTGACAGGTGTTATTTCCCTAATTTCTCTCTTGGTGAGTTTGTTATTTATGTAGAGGAATGCTATTGATTTTTGAGTGTTGTCTTTGTATCTAGCTACGCTACTCAATTTCATAATTAAATTTAGAAATCTTTTGGTGAAATTTTTTGGGTCTTCTATGAAGAGTATCATGTCATGTGCAAATAAGAATTTAACTTCTTCCTTTCCTATCCTTTTTCCTTTTATTTCTTTCTCGTCTAATTGCTCTGGCTAATCTTTCTAGAATTATATTGAATAAGAGTGGTGATATTAGGGCTGGGGATATAGCTCAGCAGCGTCATGCCTGTGTGGCAAGCTCAAGATCCTGAGTTCGATCCTGAGGACCAAAGGATGGGGGGAAAAGTGGTGATAGTGGACATCCTTGTCTTGTTTCTGATTTTAGAGTGAAAGCTTTCAGTTTTTGTCCATTTAGCATTATGCTAGTTGTTGGTTTGTCATAGATGGTGTTTATCAAATTGAGATAAACACCATCTATTCCAATTTCCTGTAGGGTTTTTTTTTTATCAAAAATGGGTATTGGACATTGTCAGATGCTTTTTGTATATGTATTGAGATGATCATATGGGTTTTGTCCTTGCCTCTGTTAATGTGGTGTATTACATTTTTAAATTTGCTTATGTTGAACCATCCTAGCATCCCTGGGATGTATCCTATGTGGTCATGGTGTATACTTTTCTTAATGATTTGCTGCATTCCATTTGCCAGTATTGTATATATTTATCACATACATTTATCAAGTCTTAATATCTGGCTATATTGGCTTGATTTTTTTATTTTCCTAAGAAATAATATATGGTAGCCATAGGTGAAGCTTGGTATTCTCTCCCTAAAGTTGTTCCCCCTTGCTCATTCTGAGACATAACCTATTGGTGATATTTATGCTGGTATGAACCTAAATGTGGTATTTATGCATATTTTTATACATTTTACATTTTTCCACATAAACATATACCTATAATTTATATATCATTACTATATGGTTCTTTTTATTCAGCATTACATTTTTGAGATTTATGCATGGTGATACATGAAGCTGTCTATTAGAACCTAGGTATTTCATTGTGTGGAAACTCCAAAATCAGCCAGGCATGGAAGTTTATGCATGTAATTCCAGTCCTCCAGAAGACTCAATAAGAATATCACAAGTTTCGTTCTAGCCTGAACAACTTAGCAATTTATAAAGACCCTATCTCAAAAATATAAAAAGGGGTGGAGATGTAGCCCAGTTTGAAGGCCCTAGTTTTTAATTCCCAGTGCTGCCCAGAAAAATCTTCCAAACTTGATTTATCCATTCTCTTGATAAACAGTGTCTAATTTTTCACCATTATAGTATGATACTAGTGTTCTTGTGTACACTCTCTCTCCCTGTATTCATATATGGGAGTTCCTGAAAAGACTCCACAATATGTAGAGGTAGATGCCCATCTTGTGGCCAAAGAGCTTATCATCAATTTCTGTGTCTAAAAGCCATATAGGAGAGTTTTTCTTGTTCTGCATTCTTGTTCACATTTAGCATTATTTCCTAGCAGCTTCACATCTTTGCACTGTAGCCTTGAGTGTTTCTTTTCACATGTTGGGCCAAGTCACTGCTCTCATTAGAATTCACAGTGGCACCTATTTCATATGTATTTTATACAAAGAAGCTGTTGATCTGTAATGCCTGACTGACACACCAGTGATTCACCGCTGCGCACACCCATTTCCTGCTCTCCCTTCTGCCCCCTTTCCCCTCTGCTCAAGTCAAACTGCTTTGCTACATTGGTCTCCTTATCTTTATACTACTTGCATTGTATAGTCCTTTGTCTGGAATAGCCTTCCACTGGATCTCTACCTTCTTCACTGGATCTTCTACAGGATCTCTACAGGCTCTGACTTGCTTCAGGAATTTGATCAGATCACTCTTTTTCAAAATGTGGCCTGACCTTACTTAATACTGCAATTTGCCTACATAGTTCCACCTCCACACTTCTGATGCTTCACTGTGTTTAGATTTGTCCATGCAGTACAAGGGGCAGTAGACTACATTGCCAGACATTAGCCCGGTATTCCTGGACTTCCCAAATGTATATAACTATGAGTTAAATGAGCCTCTATTCTTTATAAAGTACCTTCTTGGGCATATTGTTACAGCAAAGAAACCAAACTAAGATAAATGGCTAAATATTCCAGCTTAGAAATGATTTTGAAGCTAGGCTTGTTGATACACACCCTTGATACTAGCCCTCTAGGAGGCTAAGGCAGAAGGATCCCAACTCCCAGTCAACCCTAAGCAACTTAGTGACTTAGATTCTGTCTCTGAAATAAAGAGCTGGGGATGTAAAGGCCTAGGGTTCAAGCCCCAGTATTATAAAGGGAAAAAAATAGTTTTGAAGGCTGGCTGCAGTGGCACATGGCTGTAATGCCTTACTTGTGAAGCTGAGGAAGCCTAGGCAATTTAGCAAGACCTTGTCTCAAAAAAACAAAACAAACGAAAAAGGGCTGGGGCTATACATAGCCTGGTGGTAGAGTACTTGCCTATCATGAGCAGGGCCTTGGGTTCCATCCCCAAAACAACTAATGATTATGATACTGATGAGATGCTTTTTGAGGAGAGTGAGTTTTCTAGCTCTTTTACCATGTTGCTGTTGAAAAACCCTGAAACCATTGTGGTATTTTATCCTTGGTGTATGTGCTGTATATATTTTACATTTTCTGTATCCTAAGATACTGTGACGTTTTAACAATCTCTGACCAGGGAGAGACTGGGCTTCCCAAGACTGCCTGTTCTTAGAAACAGTGAAGAATTCACCTAGGAGCAAAGCAAGCCTTTGCTGTTCAGATTAAATTTTGGACTGTCTTCCTATTTGGCCCAAGCTTTTTTGGAGGCAGCAGTTCTTATGCCTCAGGCATCCCATGTCCAGGCATCAGGCAACAAAGGATCACCCTTGTGGTGTAGACACCTGCTGAATTATTCACACTAGTTTTTGCTTGTTCAGCCTACTCCATTGTGTTTTTCTTATCTGTTTTGCCCAGTAAATATCATGGGGAGCTGGGCGTGGTGTGCACACCTGTAATCCTAGCACTTTGGGAGACTGAGGCAGGAGGATTGCATATTCAAATCCAGCCTACACATCTAGTCCCAGCCTGGGCAATTTAGAGACTCAGAGAGCCCCCTATCCCAAAATAAATAATTTAAAAACTACTGGGATATATTTCAGTGCAAAGGCCTTACATTTAATCTTCAGTGTCCTGGGGTTTTTCTGCCTCCTGGCAACTCCATTGCTTTCCTCTGTGGCCTTGCAGAGCAGCATGGTATGCCTCCCATCTTAACAACTTGTAAGTTCAGGAAACTTTTTCCCTGAGCCTGTCCTATCACATAAAGAACATAGGACAGTACATGACCTGTCTGTTCTGTGTGGAGGCTTTTAGTTAGGGTCTTTTCTTAACTCCTGGTAAAATGAAATTTAGCAGTGAGTGTAGCTCAATGTGGGTTTTTTAAATTCACTGTTCTGAATAGTTGGGCCCTTACAATATAAAGCACATGTCTCTGAATTGTTAGAAGAACTATTTCATCTTACTGTTTTATCTAACTCATCTACTTTTATGTCAACTGTTCCTTTTCTGTTGAAATTTCTTTTAGTTGGCTATATCCCATTTCCTATTTTTTTTTCTTGCTTTCTGAAACATTTTCTTAGCTTAATTTTCCAGCCCTTCTGCTGAAATAGTTCAGCTATCATGTATGCTTTCGTGAGTTTTTTTCTTATTCTTTGTTTTGTTTTCGCTATTTAGACAGGGTCTTGCTATGTAGTTCAGACTGGCCTCCAACTCACTGTGTATCGGAGCCTAACCTCAAACTCTTGGCAGTCCTTCTGCCTCAACCTCCCAGTTGCAGAGATTGCAGGCATGTGCCACCATGACCAGATTTCTTATTCTTTAAACAGTTTTATAGCTTCTCGTTCTGCCTGAAGGATGTGAGTGTTGAGAGCTAATCATTTGGGACCCCAGCAGAAGAAAGTGCATCGAAGACCCTGTCTTCAGACATTAAAGGCACCAGTGATGTTATTATACTCCTCATGTGAATAGAGAAATCATAAAGGATATACTCAGGACCTTGTGCTTGCGAGATAAGCACAGCACCACTGAGCTAAACCCCTGGCCATACTGCCTTTCTTGACAACCCTTTCAATGTACCTTTCACTATAGTGACTTACCACAACAGTGGACTGGACCCAGGGAGGAAGAGGTGGTTGGTGGGTGTCAGCACAAGAATAAAAGGAAAGATATGTGGGTTTGCATGGGTAAGTATGAGCACATCTGACAGATTAATTAAAATAATTTCACTTAAAGAATTTAAGGACAGTACTTAAAAGGGAACTTGGGAACTCTGTCAGAAGTTGCTTATTTCACTCTTGTACAGGGATAAAATGGCAGCAGTTTGTATTTTTATGTTTCAGGTTTGGAAACAAGAGCTGAGAACAAGGAGTTGATTCCAAAGCAAAAAATTTTAGAAGCAAAGCCCCAGCCATGGCTACAAGAAGTATCCCAAGGAAAGGGGCCCCTGTTTTCTGAGTGTGACAATACTCATGAGCACAGAGTAGAAAAGCAGCCAACAAACTTCATGTCACTGAAACTCAAAAGTTCTCCTGAAGAGCAAGGACTCAGCAGAATTTCAAATCTCAGTGTGAATGGTTCCACGGAAAGAGTCTCTAAAAATAATGAATTTGGGAACAGGGCCAGAAGTTCCAGCTTTATCTTTGGTCAGCACAACCAGAGTGTGTCTAGGCCCATTGATGGTAAAGAACATGGGAACAAACATAAACAAAGTTTAGATAAGGTGAAATGTCACATAGTAAAACCTCACAACTCTGTTGACTTTGGAGACAGTGTCCCTTGCTCTGGCCTTTTTGAGACCCAGAGGCAGTTCTGTGAAGAAAAACCTTATAAATGTGATAACTGTGAGAAGAGTTTCAAACAGCGCTCAGATCTCTTTAAACATCACAGGGTCCACACTGGTGAGAAACCCTATGAATGCCAAGATTGTGGGAAAAGCTTCAGTCAGAGTGCTGCCCTCATTAAACACCAGAGGACCCACACAGGTGAGAAGCCATATGCATGCCTGCAGTGCGGGGAATGCTTCAGACAGAGCTCCCATCTAAATCGGCATCAGAGAACCCATGCTGGAGAGAAATACTGTAAATGTGGGGAGACCTCACATTCCAGCCTCTTTAAGCGTCAGAGACTCCATAATGGGGAGCGACGCTATAAATGTGAGGAGTGTGAGAAGAGCTTCAAACAGAGCTCGGACCTCTTTAAGCATCAGAGAATCCACACTGGGGAAAAGCCTTATGGATGTTCTTTCTGTGGGAAAAGCTTCAGTCAGAGTGCAACCCTCATTAAACACCGGAGAACTCACACTGGAGAAAAACCTTATAAATGTCTGGAATGTGGGAGATGCTTTAGACAGAGCACACACCTTATCCGTCACCAAAGAATCCATCGAAATAAAGGCCCGTGATTTTGATATACTTTTGTGCAACCTGTGTTTTGTTTGCTTTGTTTTTGGTTTCCTTGTCCAGAAATTTCATTCTTTGGCATTCAAGTATTCCATTCACACGTGGGTTGTATTTTCTTGGGCATCCCACATGATAGGATTGGTCTGACTTGAGTTTCAGTGTATATAGAGTATTTCAGTGAAGGAAGAATGAATAAGTAAGAGAGTCCAAAAGATGAGGTGGTTACTTGTAGGATGCAAGGGCTGATATGTGGCCAAATTCCCACCCCTGTCATTGTCACCCTTCCTGCCTTTGGACCAGTCATGCCCCTTTGTTATTTCCCAAGAATTTATTTTGGTCATTTAGAAATATCATTGATGGTGGAAAGGATTTCAACTATTTCTTAATCTCCAAAACACCAGGTAAATTTCAGCACATATAAGAAGCAATATTTTTTACTTTTTAAGAAAATTAACTTGAAGGGCCTCTCTTTTATTCCCATTCCCAGTTGTTTTATAATTTGATTTCATCTAAAAAGAAAATCACAATATTTAGTTGCTGTCACTACCTTTTCCCACAGCCTGTTGAATAGGTTTCATTATTTGATAACTTGGTTTCTGAAAAGGCATCAGTAAATCATTCACTAAGTTGTGTATATATGGATTCTTGTGACTCCAAAAGCCTAAAGCTTTTATTTTTATTTTTTTTCCTGTGAGACTTCTTACTGTGAGGGATATAAGGGGATGCTTCTGCCGGGTTTCCTTGACATCTTCTAAATGGGATCTCACTGAGTACAGAAGTTCTGTGGTTCTTGGTATTGGTCAGCTTTCCCACTCAGGAAAAAATGTTTGAAATACACAACTTAAGAAATGTTTTATTTGGGATCATGATTTCATAGGTTTCAGTTCATGGTCGGATGGCTCAAAAGCAGAAACATGGTGGAAAGGCATGGCAAAGCTGAAAGCATGCCAGAGAGAGAGATATATCCTCCAAAGGCATATCCCCAGAGACCCCTCTCCTCCAACTGGGCCCCACTTCCTAAAAGCACATTCAGCAGTAAATAACTGGATTCATCCACTGATGCGTATAATGCTCTGTGATGCAGACACCTCTCTACTCTCCAGGAATTTCTTTTGTTTTGTTTTGTTTTTTTTGAGACAGGGTCTCACTGTGTAGTTGAGTCTGACCTGGAACTCACTATGTAGCCCAGGCTGGTCTTGAACTCCCAGCGATCCTCCTGCCTCAGCCTCCCAGTGTTGGGATTACAGGTGTACGCCACCACGCCCAGCTCTCCAGGAATTTCTTTTGTTTTGTTTTGTTTTTTTTGAGACAGGGTCTCACTGTGTAGTTGAGTCTGACCTGGAACTCACTATGTAGCCCAGGCTGGTCTTGAACTCCCAGCGATCCTCCTGCCTCAGCCTCCCAGTGTTGGGATTACAGGTGTACGCCACCACGCCCAGCTCTCCAGGAATTTGTTAATCCACTCAAGTGGACAGTTAAGATTAACTTGCACAAGTAGAGTTCACTAACGGTGATACTCTGTTCATAGAATCCGTCCACATTCATTCCACCATTTGATTTCCAAGCAGCCCTCTGAGTTAAGTAGGAACCTATGCCATCACCATTTACAAAGGAAGAGAGAGGCTTACACTGGACACTTGAAGAAATCAAGTGATGAGTTTGTACAGTCAGTGTTAGTTTCCCCCTTTACCTGAGTGTGTAGCTCCCACCCCACAAATCACTCTGTGTGCCTTTATCTTCTGATTCCTACTCTAGCTGGAGCCTCTGCAGTGGTGGGCAGTGGTTTCCAGTGGTAGCAGAGGGTCAGTGGGTGCCTACACCCACACTATGACAAGGAGCACCATCTGTGAACTTTCAGACTTGATCATTCCTTAACATCCCAGGACTTTTTACATGCCTGTGACCCAATAAAGGAAGGAATGGGGTTAGCTTTATTGTCCCTGTTGGGTTTAATTTTAGGCACACAAGGAGAACTTCTCTGAATTTTTTTTTAGGCACAACTATTTTCTGAAGAACCTCAGGTTATGGCCAAAATCTACCTAATAATCTTTCCCATTCTACATACCAACAAGTATTGCATCCAAATTCATTTATTCATTTATTTATTTATTTATTTTGTTTTTTTGAGACAGGGTCTCACTATGTAGTTGAGACTGACCTGGAACTCACTATGTTCAGGCTGGTCTCGAACTCAGAGCAATCCTCCTGCCTCAGCCTCCCATGTGCTGGGATTACAGGCATGCACCACCATGCCCAGCTCCAAATTCTTTTAGAACCTTAATTGTTTAATTAATTGTGGTGGGTTTTTTTTTGGTTGGTTGGGTTTTGTGTGTGTGTGTTTTTTGGATTTTTTTGGTTTTTTTGGTTTTTTGGTTTTTTGAGACAGGGTCTCACTCTGTAATTGAGACTGACCTGGAACTCACTATGTAGCCCAGGCTGGTCTCAAACTCACAGAGATCCTCCTGCCTCAGCCTCCCAAGTGCTGGGATTACAGGCGTGTACCACCACGCCCTGGCCAATTGTTGCTTTCTTAATAAGGTTAATATAACTACCTTGTCACTGTGTAGAGGACAAGAAACATTACTTTAAGATGAGATTTTTAGTTCAGTCACCAAGAGGACTCAGAGTGCTGCTAACATCAGCATAGGAGAGCTTCAAAGAAACAGTAGCAAGCTGAGGCCTCTGCAGTTACTTGGTTTTTGTTTTTTTGTTTTGTTTGGTACCAGGGATCAAACTTGGGTCCTTGTGCTTGCAAGGGAGGCTGAGGCAGAACCACTGAGCCAAATCCCTGGCCCTGCAGTTATTTATTTGTACCTCATGGACATGAAAACAAAGTAGAAGGAAAGCATTTGCAACATATTGTTTCGTTTTATCCAGGAGTGGGGGCACATTGCCAACCTGAACTTCATAGCAGGACTGAATCTCAGAAAAAAGTCAGGACATAGGGCTGAATAGGATGGTTATGTGCTACATGTTGACCAGTTTAATCTTATGGGGCAGAGGGGACGCAATGGCCAAAGCAAACATCTTTGAGTACAAACTGCTTTTACTTCTGCTGACTTGTCCTGCAGATTATGCTCTGAACTAACCATTCCAGGAGTCCTGAACTATTGTCCAGAAAGTCTCTTCCTTTTTCGCATTCACTTCAAATGCTCCTTTGACCTCAGACTCCACAGCATATTATTGGGTATTTGGGAAAATAACAGAAAAAACATTTACTCATAATCCTGTCAACCCTAATCTACCAGTTGGCACTGTGGGATATGATTTTATTCTAGGTAAATTTTTATATAGTAAAAATCATAGTTTATATCTTTAACATTATAAAGATTTTTACTCAGTTCTCATGATCATTATACTTAATGGCTGTATTATTTTCCATCAAATGTTAACAGTTGGACATTTTTCCTTTTATTAGATAGGTCAAGCTTGGCGGGGGGCGGTACCAGGGATCAAACCCAGGACCTTGTGCTTGCAAGGCAGGCACAGTGCCACTGAGCTAAATCCCTGGCCCCAAAGCATTTCTGATTTGCAATCATTTTAGCAGTGTTTAATTTTAATACAAATATGGCCAAAAATACTTCATGAGTCTTGTCAAGAAGGCATGCTTTTTCTAGTCTAGTAGAATATTCTCCACCATGAAAGCCAGGCTCCTTCAACGAGGGATAAACACCTGCACTGAACCTGTAGTTTTAGTCTCTCTAGGAACACAGAACAATCAATGGTCCATCCCTCAGGCCAAATAGCAAAGCCCAAACATGAGCTTTTCTTTCACAATACCTTGTCTGGGGGATTAATTTGGAGCTCTTGTTTTGCCAAGTGTTAAACACCAACATTTATCAACCTTGGCATTACCAATCTGATCTCTTGGTCTAGGTTTTTGAAGGTGGTAGGCATATCCTTGCACTCTGGGCCTTCTTGGAATGGAGATAACTTCCTCCCAATCCAGGTAAGATTCCCTAAATATATGGGGTGCCACTTGATTTTGGAGGGGCAACAAAACTCCACCCACATTAGGGTCTCAGCTGGGTCCAAGAAAGTGACCTACAATTAATAGGAGAAAAGCATACCAAATATACATAATGCAATGTGTGTGTGTGTGTGTGTGTGTGTGTGTATTACTAGGGATTGAACCAGGGCCTTCACATTGAACTACATCCCCCGCCCATTTTTGAGACACGGTCTTGTTAAATTGCTAAATTGTCCAGGCCAGGTTCAAACTTGTGATCTTCCTGCACTGACAATCCCAGAGCGCTGGGATTATAAGTGTGCCAGTCATGCCTAGCTACGTAATGGAACATTTACACGGCATAATACCTTCATAAGGAAATGAAGAAACAAAGAAGCAATATAGGTGGAGACTTTAAAAATGGTTATTTTGGCACGGTCTGAATCCTGTCTCAAGTGTCCACCCTTAATATTTTTCACGTGGGAATTTTATCTTTCAATAAAGAGCAAAAAGGTCAGTGTGGTGGGGGGCTATTTAAAAAACCTTTCGCAACCTCAATGTGTCAGAGTAGTATAACTTTTAATTCCCTCACTTTGTTATTCTCACTGGAATTTTCAAATTCCTTTTACCTTCACTACTTATAATTTAAAAACAAAAGTTTTTTGAGACAGGGTCTTGCTAAGTAGGGCAGGTTGACCTTGAATTTGTGGTGATTCTCCTGCCTCAGCTTCCTCAGTTCTGGGATTACAGGCATGCACCACCATGCCTGGCTGAAGTTTTTGTTTTTTGTCTTTTTGTACTGGGGATCTAACTCAGGACCTTGCATTCATGTGGCAGGTGGCACAGTGCCACTGAGCTAAATCTCTGGCCCTCTGGCTGAAATTTTAAAATTTTATTTATTTGGATTTTTGAGACACGGCTTTGCTACATAGTTCAGGCAGGACTTGAACTCACTATCCCCAGGCGGCCTCAAACTCACAGAGATCCTCCTGCCTCAACCTCCTTGAATGCTGGGATTTTAAAAAATTATATAGGCTGGCTAAGAAGTCATAGGATTGGTC